CTGTAGAGAAATCTGAGGACAGAAACATTCTCACATTCTGAGGAGCTGAACAGGGAGTGTTTTCAGGGGCTGCTCCGTATCTGAACTAATATAATAGAAACTTGCTACAGGAGCAGTCAGTTGGCAAACAAACCTCACTAGAATGGAAGTGATGATCATCTATTTTTCTTTACTGTCTTTTATAAGAACATTTTTAACCATAACATTAATTACTGTAAGAGTGAGCAACGTGTCAGAAGAAGATGAAAGGCAAGATAACTGTTTTATTCTGTGGTCTGCTAAAATTATACATAGGTATAACTGTCTCTGTATACATATATGGCTTACAAAGTCTAAATTAAGTCAGTGGTTTTAAAAATATTACAATTATTCTGATTATACAATAATGCCTGTCACTTAAAGCCTGCATGAAATTTAGGGGGACTGCAGTCTTTTCACTATACAGGTCATGAATACTAATTTTTGTCAGATTTTAAATGTATGAGAAGCAGTTACGGTAGGATAAGTTCCCTACTGCAAACCTGGGTATGTGCTTACTGGGAATGGCAGCATTATATTTCGCTCCTCCATTGTGAAGTATGTATAAAAATATATACATATCCGACTGGCAGTGGAATTCATGCTGTACATATGATACCACTTCAGTTCTTGTAGTGGTTCTTAGCAGTACACAGATGTATTGGCCAGAGGAGCCATTTATATTGTGGGTTATCAGAATAGAAATAATTTGCATTTTTTTTTTGACTAATAAACAATGAAAAAAAAACCAAAAAAAATATGCAAAGGGACATAGTAGTGTGCAGAATCAGTGTTATAAAGTCTAAATTTGGTTGGTAGCTGGCACCTCAATCTTAGTAGGCAGTAAAATAAGGCCATTGTATTATCAGTTTTAGGCACTGCTGAATATAGAAGGGGAAACTGTACACTGGCTGCTTCTTATGTCCTTTTTTAAATAAAGTTCAAAGAGTTTTCTAAAGTATACAAAAGCACTAGTATATAAATTCCTTCACATTGGTATTTTTATTACTTTGGAAATATTTTGATCACTTCTGGATATTCAAAAATATGAAGTACCTCTAATGTCTGTATTTTTACGAAAAAGAAAAAAAAGTTCTTATTTTTTTGTGTTAATAGTGTATATAAATTAGTTCCTTGACTTTTAAAATATATGTAACTCAACTTTTTTTTTTTTAATAAGGTTTGTAAATTGATATATTAGCAGATTAGGTCTGTACTGACTGTTTAACCCATACTGACATCCTTCAAAGAGGAATTACTTTTGTGTAAACCTTTAGCTGCCTTACTCTTCGAACTCTGTTGTGCCCAGGACTTGTTTGGGTCTTTTCCTTAGTTAGAATATTTTAATTTCGACTTTTCTTCTTTCAAAATTAGGCAAGTTGCCTTTGTGAGTTTGAAATATTAAAAAAAAAAAAAAGAAAAAGAAAAAGGAAGGTTAATTTTCTTCATATGCTGAATAGAGCCTCTAATCATACATATTTCATCACTATTGATGGATAGAGGAAGATAGGGAGAATTCAGACTTCTTGAAGGTAAGGGGGGTGGTCTTGAAGGATAGGCAATGGTGAAAGATGAAGGAGTATAATTCCGTGAGTAATGTTCATTTACTATTCCCCTGGATCCCTGAAGAAGAACATAGAATCATAACTCCTTTATTTTGCTCTTGATTTAGTTTTTGTAGACAGAGTTACAGGATGCAGTACTAGAGCCAGGAACTAAGACGACAGAGTGATGGTCAGCTTGATCAGGGGAAGCTTAGTGTCAGGTATTACCTGGCATACATAGATATCATATGTACACCTGGAAAGTTACTTGCCATGGACAGGATTAGAAATTGTTCAGAAAAGAACTCCCTCTTCCCTTCCATTCTGGAAAAATCTAATTTTTATCATCCTCTGAAAGAAAAAAAAATACTCTGTATTGTTAAGCAAATCTTTAATGATTATCAGCTTTGGGAGAAATTTATTTTTCTAATGTGAAATAGCCGGTAGAAATAGGTAAAGTTGTGCTAAAAGTTGGGCCTTTCTGAAGGGGCAGTGTTAAATCAATACATACTTCTGGTATCATACAGTGAATGCTCACGCAAAATACTGCATCCCAGGACAACTAGTGACTAGGAAACAAAACCTATAATAAAATCACTGTGGACACCTTAATTTGTTTTTCCCCAAAGATTGACACAGGAAGCCAAAAATTTTGAATTAAACACTGTGAGAAATGGACTGAAAAAAATTCTAACACATCTCTTTGGTTGTACTGGCTATTCAATATTTGTAAAGTGGTTCTGCTTATTACAAATGATTTGTAATGATTTGACAGTAGCAGTAATACCATGTACTTTTAATTTTTAGTTCTGTCACAACTAGGGGAAGGGAAAGTGGAGATCACGTTTTTTTGCGTTTTTTTTTTTCATAGAAACAGAGGTTAACACTGCGAGTGGGTCTTCTAGATACTGAGTTTAGGAGTGATTAGCATTTTAATAAAATATCAAAGATGATACAGATCAGCCGGGGAAAGGGTGAAAATCTACAGTTGCCCACAGAAATCCCTAATGCCTACAGCATAACTGTAAACTTTTGGAAATGACTTGGAGAGGTTTTCAGCTTTGCATGTTGTATAAGGCATTTATATGCTGCTTTCTTGCATTCCTG